TCGTGTATTATGGATGCTTGCTTGTATTGCCATCGTGTATTATGGATGCTTGCTTGTATTGCCATCGTGTATTATGGATGCTTGCTTGTATTGCCATCGTGTATTATGGATTCTCTTGTTTTGTTTTGTTTTGTTTTGTTAAATTTTGTTTTCTGATCTGAGCTCATCCTCAAAACTAGCATTTCGAAGATTAACTTATGAGGGATGTTTTGAATGAGATAGAGCAGAGTTGGAGATCGCGAATACCACATTACCGTATAGCATATTCCTGAGTATGTATCCACGTGTACAGTTTTGTGATTCATGTATTAACATTTGTATCGTTTGGTTGGAGGGTTTTACTACTCATCCCCCTTAAGTTTTTATTAATTTATTTTTTAAATTATACTTATTTACTTATTTATTTACGTATTTATTTATTCATTTATTCCGTTACATTTTGATTGATTGATTGATTGATTGATTGATTGATTGGTTGGTTGATTGATTGATTGATTGATTGATTGCTTGATTGATTGATTGATTGATTGATGTTTTTATTTATTTATTTATTCATTGTCTCCCTCTGTGTCTGACTGTTCTACTCTACAGCAATGGTCACCAGAAAGTGTCCGTCTTAAAACAGACATCGGCGACCACGGTTCGCCCCCAATTTTTTTATTCCAAAGTTCAAGTAGAAACTTATATCATCACAATTTTTCTCAGCGACCAGTTTGTTATATGTTTAGTCCTACTTTCCTCTTTTACCTTTCATTTTTAGGCTTTTATGTGGATTCAAGTCCCCCTAGAAGCTGCCTGTTGTATTATCCAAACCGTCTTACAGTTTTGAATTGTCGTTACTGTGTCTGTTTATTTCTTTCAGTTGTTATTAAAAGTAAGTATATGGAAATGTTATTAACATTTTTTAAATTAATTTTTTTTTAAATTTCAGACTGTGCTCTCACTTTGCCGCTAGAAGCGAAGACTGGGTTACAGCAGCTGCAGGGAGGAAATCCTTCACTCAAAGACAACTTGTGTAAAGGTTAGAGTGAAAACGTCAAGCCGTGTGAGGTCATCTTTTGCCTCAAGAACTGCCCACAAGCCAAGAGAAGTGGAACCCACTGACAGAGATGTCAGCGCGCCATTCGTTCGTCAAAGTATTCCGTGTGAAGGCGTGGTCTTGAGATCTGTAAACTGACATAAAACTGAGAATTGCATTTATAATTGTGGGTGTGTATATATAAACGTCCGAGAAGGACACGCGCTCGAGAGTATCTCAGACACACTAAGAAGAAACGACGCATAATCACGTGAGTGGTCTGTGTCCTGACCCAGAGGTCAAGATGAGCAGCTCCGACGAGAACTCGGCATGCCAGGTGTGCTACGAGTTCGAGCCTCAGGCGTGGCGGAAGTCGCTGTGCCGGAACTGCTTCCACTCTCTGGACGAGCACTCGGAGGATCTACTGGCGGCGGAGGCCGAGGCGGTGGCGAGGGAGAACGCCGAAAAACAAACTGTGCCCGAAAAAACCGGCCCGGGGAAGGCCGACTCCGACAAGGACAAGACTACAGCAGCGTCGGCTGCTTCTGGTAAAGGGAAAACTGCTGATGTAGGGGAGAAAGATGTGAAGGTGAGCAACGACGTGAAGTCCAAGTTTGGACCCGGGGCGGGGAAAGACAGTGGCAAAGCCGCGCCCTGGGCGAAAGATTTAGGACGGGAATATTCAAAAACAGGCAAAACGCCTCAAACTGGGTCTAAATCCGCCGGTACCCCTGCATCATCATCGTCACCATCATCATCTTCTTCTTCTACCTCGTCTTCGAAATCGTCTGCAAAGTCAACAACATCCTCCTCGTCTTCTTCCTCCACAACGACAACGCCATCATCAAAAGCAGCAGCAGCACCCTCCTCACCGGCCGACACGTCCCCGAAGTCAGCGACTTTGTCCAAAGCAAAAAGTTTTGCGTCCAAATTCGAGTCCAAGGCTTCTAGCTCGTCCTCTGACAAGCCGACTCCCTCCAAACCCTCAGACCTCAAGTCTTCGGGCTCCTCTGGAAAACTCGCCAACGACACTTCCAAACCCGCCTCCAAGCCCGAAGATTCAAAATCGACTGATTCAAAAACATTGGACTCGCCTAAAGGTCAGGGATCTAAAGACTCCAAATCCAAAATATCCGACAGTGTATCCAAATTTTCGTCCAAGTCTCAAGGTGCGGAGCAGGGTAAGGGAAAGGAGGATGTGTCCGACAAGAAAGATTCTCTCAAATCTCCAACTGACAATAAGGATAAAAAATCTTTAGCGTCGAAATTTGGAGAAAAGGAAAATACTTCGCGCTCAAAAGCTGCACCATTTGGTAAAGATATGTTAAAAAACACGAAAGACACGACGAAAAAAGACAATAAAGCAAACGATATTGGTTTAGAAAAGACAAAATTGAAGGACAGCCCGAAGGAAACAGCTAAACTGGGATCTCCGAAAACGCCAACCCCAAACGACAAGGATAAATCCTTGCTAAAGGGAGACAAACAGAAAGAGGATTCAAACAGCAAGAAAAGTAAAGAGGAGCCAGTGAGCAAAGTAAGCTCTAATAATAAATCAGGTGATATCGACGCCAATGTAAGCCAAAGGTCACAACACGCCGCCTCCACCAGCCCCGACACGAAATCTGCGCAGCAGTCTCCGGGCAGCTACACGAGCGTGTCAGATTCCTCTCCTCCCGGCCCCCGTGTCGGGCAGGGCGCCACCACTCGGACAGGTAAACTCGCAGACTCCGGCAGCGCGAGTGTTGGCGAGGGCTCAGGGAAAGACACGAGAGCAGCAGCAGCAGCCACGCAAGGTAACGCCAATGACGTCACACGGAAATACCTGAACGACAGCAAGGGAGATGAATCGGGGATCGTAGGTAAAAAGAGTGGCGGTGGTAGTGGTGGCCCTTCTTTTGATTCGTCCAAAACATCGGATAAAGATAAACCTTCTCTGTATAAAGATAGAGGGAAAGACAAAGGGGGAGGAGGAGGAGGGGGAGGTGTGGAAAGTGGCGTTAGCGCACGCGTTTCGGCCACTGATCCCCCATCGCGAGGCTCACCGGCCGCGGGTAGAGAGGACGCTCGCAGTGCTGGGTCCCCCGCCACGCCGTCCTCACCTGTACCAGCCACAAACGCCAGCTCCCCGTCCACGCCCACATCTCCGCTGTCTCCCAAGACAGCCACTCCGTCTTCACCGCTCGCGTCATCGGTGTCGACGTCTTCTTCTTCTCCATTATCGACGCCGACATCGAAACCCGGCGACAAGAAGCCCAAAGACTTACGACTCAACACAGACAAAGCCTCCTCGGTCTTAGGGAAATTCAAAGAGCTCGAAAAGAAATCAGGAGTCCAAGATGGCGACTCTAAGCCGCCGGGCACGAAATCGAAAGTGCCTGGCGACACAGTCGGGGCAGCGTCCGCTTCCCCGGGTGTGCATGATGAAAAGTTAAAGAAAACGTTAGAAGAAAAGGAAGAAAAGCTTCGAGCTCTAGAACAGCAGGTTTCCAAGATGGAAGGCGACATGAAGAAACTGGAGGAGGAGAAAGAGCGACTGAGGAAGGAGGAGAGTTCCTCCCGACAGACCCAGAAAGAAGATATGGAGAAACTGCTGCAGGAGTTGCGGGGTCAGTTAGACTCGATGGGTCAACAGTGTGAGCGACTCCAGGGAGACAACCAGACGCTGCTCAACAAAGTGCACGTGCAGGAGGAGAGTGTGAGGCGAGACCAGGTGACGAGGGGTAAGAACGTGGAGAATGTCCACTTGGAGGAAGATCTGGAGCTGGCGGAGAAAGAGTTAGAGGAGGTGAAAGAGGTCAACAAAGACCTCCAGAGTCAGATCATGGAGATGAAGAACGAGATGGACGAGATGTACGACCACTTCCGAGAAAATGAACACGACGAGTTCCGAGAGCTGCAGAAGGAGCTGGACATGACGGCCAAGAACTGCCGTATCCTCCAGTTCAAACTCCGCAAATCGGAACGTCGGAACGAGCAGATAGAGGAGGATCGCATCCACTACGAGGAGAAATTGAGGATGCTCCAGGACCAGTTCGATTCTCAAGACGCGAAGAATCACATTCGTGTTCTAGAGGAAGAGCTGAGGGTTGCTAAAGAGGTATCGGTGCGTCTTCACGACGAGCTGGATATCGTGGAGGACAAGCGCGGCAAGGCCCTGGAGGAGAACCGACACCTGACCGAGCTGTTGGAGCACACGGACAAGAGGCAGTTCCGGCTGGAGATGGAGATCGACAAACTCAGAGATATCGTAAGTGTTGCTGGTTACCATTACGTCGGTCAAAGTAAATTTCGGTATACCTCCATTCTTAACTGAAAAATGTTGATTAAAGGCATAACAGATCTAAATTTTCAGTTTCCACGGACTCTCAAGCTAAAGGAATAACTCAACTTTGGTGGCCATTTTCTCGCTAATTGATCGCTTTTAAGCACAAGGGGGCTATCCCGAAAAATGCTGTTTTGAAAAATAAAAGGTAAAGTTTTTGCCCCTTGTTCAGTTTCTTTAAAAGGCAAGGAGGGTTTTCTCTATAACCAAACAAATATACACACCAATGAAACCAAACCTCTCCTATAGGTAGGGCAGGCAATACCCACTTTGGTGTAGGTCCAGAGTTCTGGAAACCCCCGAAATCTTGGTTAGCCCGCTTGTCCTAAAAAGCGAACATACTCTTTCGCTACGAAGAGTCTAAATTTCAGATGCACCCTGTAGTATGCTGCTTAGCGCTGTGTGGGCGAGGTAGGGGAGAGGGGGGGGGTCATCAGAATGATGAAAAGAATCAATTTCGCAGTGAATGAGTTGGAATGGGTTTTAAAAACATCTTTCGGAAATGACGCCATCGCGACCCACATTTGGACCCTCACTCGGAGAGTGAAAACCCAGGATATAACTTTGGAATGGAGGACTGAAATTTGCTTCTACTTTTATTACTACGTCGTGCTGTGTTTGTGTGTCTGTGTGTGTGTGTGGGGGGGGGGCGGGGTCGTTAGAATGAGAAAGAAACGATTTCGCAGTGAATGAGTTAAATGTCATTAATGTGGCACTCTCACCGGGGAAATGAGTCTTACGTCTTCTCTGGTGATACTGTGTTTTTGTCCCTGCATCTGTGGTGTAGTGGTTAGGTGTTTTGCCGTCGCACACAGTAGGGGTTAGTTCGATTCCCGTGTGTGGAGGTTTTATTAAATTGAATGTCTACGTCACTACGTTTCTGAAATAGGGCTGATTGTGTTGAAGATTTGCATGCTTCTGTTGCCATGATGATATATCCCTCTCTGCCTTGGTTGGCCCCGACAGACAGAGTCGAAGTAATCCGCTTTCTAATAATTAGATTACTCAAGACTCGTTTGTTAAATTGTTGGTTATATTGTGTTAGTAAGTGGTAGTATGGGTAGTATATTTTGTTTTTACTTCTGTCCTTACACAATTAATTAATGTACGGTTGTGAAGGTTCTTCTTTATATGGCTGAACTGGTTTTTCTTGTTACTGGGAAATATTTTATCTTGTGTAAATCGCTCAGTGATCATGCGATTGATGTAAAGCGTACAGAGCTTATACTCGTATAGGATAGAGCGCCCCCGTAGATGCAATCTATTACTTTTTATTCATATTTTTATTCTTATTCTTATTCTTATTATCTCAGTTGTGTTGATGGACTCGTGAGACGTCTATAAAGTGCGACTGTATTTTTATCTCAGATTAACAGTATACTATGACGCTCAATCGGTCTATGTGGTGGACTTTTTATGCACTTTGTTGTCATGTGCAGCGAAGACGTGGGTTCGAATCCTGAGCATAGCAGATATTCTGTTGAGTACATTTTGATATTAGGGTCCCATAATATTATGTGTCTGTTTGTTGTAGGATATCTCCAGTCAGTCAATGTTGGTTGGATCTCCGAGGCAGGAACGAAGCACCCCGCCTGTTCAATAATCTTAACTGTGTCCAAATACTTCGAAAGGATTTAATACAGGTGCTTTTTACGCCTCCATTGACTTAATTCGGATTATGTAGGAGGGATTATGTGTCGGGCCAGCCTGGACTATGAGGAATTCAAGATCCCAACAGACAGACGGACGAAAAAGCTATATAAAAGTTCTCCCCATTTAAGAATAGAGCCCATGCCCCATGGGTACTATAGCTCAGTGCCTAACCACTACACTACGGGCGCCAGTACTGTGCCCAAGAGCGCATAAAGCTGTAGGACACCCCCCCCCCCCCCCAAAAAAAAAAAAGAAAGAAAAAGAATACAAAAAGGACACATAACAATATAATGCAAACAATAAAATACCTGCCCCGCTCAGGAATCGAACCAACTTCTTTTGTACATGACAATGTAGTGCATAAAAATTACACCACATAGACCGATTGAGCGTCAAAGTCATAGTATGCTTTTAATAAATCTGAGATTAAATTACATTTGCACTTTATAGCTTCACGATGACACATGAAAAAGGACCGACATAAAAGATCCAACCAAAGTTCTGGAATTACCAAGGCATAAGCTGCTGCCTGGCATCATTGTCAGATGAAGAACTTAGTTCTTTCCGCAGGCACTATGCTTCTATGTCTGTCTCTGTCTCTGTCTCTGTCTCTGTCTCTCTTTCTCTGTCTCTGTCTCTGTCTCTCTTTCTCTGTCTCTGTCTCTGTCTGTCTGTCTGTCTGTCTGTCTGTCTTTCTGTCTGTCTGTTTGTCAGTCTGTCTGTCAGTCCGTCGCTCGCTCTCTCTCACTCTCACCGCCCTCTCTCTGTCTCTCTCTCCCCCCTCCTCTCTCTCTCTCTCTCTCTCTCTCTCTCTCTCTCTCTCTCTCTCTCTCTCTTTCTCCCGTTCTCTCTCCCACTCTCGCCCTCAATCTATTTATCTCTCACTCTCTCT